CTTTCCCCAGGAGTGGGAAGGGAATGGGAATTTTACAGTATCTTTCCCCTGGAGTGGGGAGGGAGAAGAGATTTTGCAGTATCCTTCCCCTGTCATACCCACCAAGCCACACCCACCAAACCATACCCACAGAATGGGTCGTAAATTTTTTTTTAATCCCACCACTGGTCCCGCTGCTCTTTTGGCCTGGAATTGATTTCTTTGGCCTCCTCAGCCTAGGATCCTATAGCCCGAAAGGGCCGTCCACTTACTGAGCGGAGACTCATCGTCCGGCTCGGGGGCAGCCATGTTGGCAGGCGCAGGGGGCCCCGCAGGAGAAGGAAGAAGAGGAGAAGGAGGAGGAAGAAGAAGAGGAGGAGATGGGAGGTCTGCAGAGGAGAGAAAGAAAAGGAAAGGCAAAAGGAAGAAACATCTGGAAACAACCAGCTGAAGGCGCAAGGCCAGAAGAAGACGACAAACACGGATTCGGCCCATTGAAGAAACACCCCCCCTCTTTCTTCTCCCTCGTGGCCCTGACTAGCTACCCCACTGCTCCTGAAGGCTTCTCCTGAAGATCTATTATGGCCCAAGGAAGCCCAGAACGGAAGGCCTTCGTCCGCCCTCCTTGGGAAATTCCCTGGCTTTTCCCAGGAAGCCGAAGCCACAGGGCCTCTGATAGTAGCCCCGGCTTCCAGCCTTGACCCACGGATGCCGTGTGAGAGAATGGCTAGACTGAGGGTGGGGGGAGAGAGAGAGACACGTCCCCAGATCGGATGTATGAGCGCTCTGGCTTCACACACCCACACCGGCGGGCCTGGGCTGTTGGAAGCCAAGCTGCCTCTGATGAACCGCTGCACCAGCTGTCCCAAAATGAAGCAAGAGAGTAGGAGTGGGGGGAGGGAGGCTGGCCCTGCTTTCTGGAACCGTGGTTGTCTGAAACAACTGAGCCCAGAGACGGCCAGATCTCTTGCTGCTTCCCAGGAGGGGGAAGGAAGAAACAAAACAAACGCAAACACACATACCACATCTGTGGAAAGAGCCGCAGCGAATGAAAATTGGGGAGGGGGTGTTGAGTGCAGCAGAAAGAGGTTCAAGAGAGGACAAGGACATCCGAAAAGAGCCACTTTCTGAGCTCCACTGGGGAGCCGGTTTTGCACGGGGGGGGGGGAGGCAGGAAAAGCCTGAAGCCCCCCCCCAGCTAGCAAACCTTCCAGCTGCCGGCACTGGCCGCCACAAGAGGAGCCATCGTCCGAGGCTTCTCGGAGGGATGCGCCTCCTGCGCTGAGGACTGTAACCCTAAGGCGGAGGGCTGAAAGGAGAAACGTGGCCTCTTTGGTGTTTTCCCACACTGCGAAGGCCTCAAAGAGTGAAAAAGCATCTCTTCCTCCCTCGCCAGAAGGCCGTTCCTGGCGAGAAGGGAGGAAGGGAAGCCATCTGCTAGAACGCTCACAAGAACAGACAAGAATCGGCCCCAGGGACCCTTCCAGACAGATCGGCCCGCTAGCCCTTCCCATCCGCGCCCCCGGATGATCTGCTCCCTGCGCTGCCAAAGAGATTGCATGTGGACCGGCTTTGGCCTGGGCTCCCGAGAAGCAGTGGGAAAGCAGCTGTTCCCAGCATCCTCAGCGGCTATTCAGACCGCCAACCTGGATTTCAGAAATTTGGAGCAAGGGGAGCGAGGGGCCTTGTCCAGAACCAGACCCTTTGCCGAAGGACGGAGCTCCGGGGGCACTTTGGAAAACCGCAGGGGGGGCCTCCTGCCTCCCTTGCCACCCTCCCTTTTCCACGAGATCTCGGACGGCTCCCCAATCCGAACGCCAGCCCGGTACGCACTCACCTGTAGAGAGGAGAGACTGGCTGGAACTGGCCGGGGGCTCGACCGAGATGGTCCCGCTTCCGTTTTCTCCGCTGCCGTACTCATCTGCAACAAACAGAAAGTCAGTGGGCTTTCTGCCAGAAGCTTTGGTGATAACCAAAGGGAAGATTATGGAAGGAACAGATGAGGGGATTCGAGCCTTTACAAGATACCCAGCGAAATATAAGTTGCCAAGAGATGTGCATACAAGATTTACTAAAAAAAAGCAATTAGAATACAAATACCACAAATGGCAAGAGATAAAAGATTGTACTGCTATTGGATGGATACAGGATGATGTAATGAAATGACGTAATAAAAATTAATTTGAACTTATTTAGAGTGAGAATATTTTGCATAAAATGAACTAATAATAGTTATAGTCAAATAAATGATTAACAATGATAATATTGTATACATATAT